AAAAAAAAAAAAAAGATTTACAGCTTTGGAAGCCCAATGGGGGTTGCTATGAGTCTGAATTGACTCAATGGTAGTGACTTTGGCTTTTTTTTTTTTTTGCCTGGCCCTGGGGGCAGGATGGGACAGGGAGAGTGTCTGATTTGTGCCTTTATGGCAGAAGGACAGAGGGGACATTCTGTCCAGTGCCAGTCTCCTCCCCCTACACCTACCTTCCAACCTTGGCCTTCACAGCTGGAACAACTGCCCCTCCACAGGGCAGGAAAACTCATGAGAACTCCCAAAAACCCAGGCTGCCCCAGGCACCCACACAAGTGGAGGCCTTGTTCCAGGATGCCACCAGGTACCCTGAACCCCAGGGTCACCCCAAGGCCATGAAGTCCTGGTAGTTGGAAAATGGGAACAGCTAGCTCCTCTCATCACCCAGATGAGACCCTGGGTGCCATCTCTGCACTGACAGTGTGGCTGGCAAATTACAGGTCTTCCCTGAGCCCCACTTGAGACTCCAGAAAAATGAGGCTTTGCTGGCTGGTTACTGAGCCCCAAGTACATGCAAAGCCCCTCACAGAATGGGGAAATGGCAGAGGCTTGCCTTTAGGGAAGACAGACAAGGCATGCTCACAGGTTAGGGCAGCAAGGAGCAGCCTGGGAAGATTGTGTGGGCAGAGAGTTCTGGGAGCTGGAGGAGGGAGCATTCCAGGGTTATGGAGGGATGTGGAAGGCTTCATGGAGGAAGTAGTATTTGAACTGAGCATTGAAGGATGAACCAGCTATTTTCACCTTCCACCAAGGAAGGTGGAAAAAAAAGAAAGGGGACCTTCCAAGTAGATGGGACAGCTGGGCAAAAGCTCTGAGGGTGAAGTGTCAGAGCATAGGATGATCAAGCAATGGAGAGAACGGAAGCTAGCTCTTGTGTAGAAACTGGAGCCAACACTGGGAGCTCACCGAATGCTGTAATAAAGAACTTTGATTTCACCTGGCTGGCAAAAGAAAAGTACGGTAGGTTCTCAGGAGGAAAGTAAAGGCTCCTTACAGCCAGAGTTGTATCCACAGAATATGTGCCGGTCGCAAGCTCTGAAACTGCATCTCTGTCCAAACATCTGACATCCATCTTTTAGATGACTTTGCCATAATATGACCTCAAAAATACAAGTCAAGTTCATTAATCTTTTACTTAACACATTAAGGCACTACATGAAAATTACAACTGCACCTTCCCTGCTTTTGCTGATGAAAATTGGTGGATGATGTGCTCAAAGTTGGGTTTTTTTTTTGGTCTTCAGTATCTTCTCTCTCTACACCCAGCAGAGTAGTTCCAGACCTTTAGGCAGAGGCAATGCTCAAGCTACAGTGGGGGAGTCTTATGCCAAATGGCTTCCCTGGGGAGCAGCACACCTTGGACACAGACTGCATTTGTGGCCACCAATGCAGGCACTCATGCCCAGGTGGGCTCACCGCCAACCCAGTGGGTAGTCATCCCTGGCCTTGGAAATAGCATAATGTTTGGGAATTAGACATAGCAGGGTGGAGGTGAGTGCAGAGAGGAGGGGGAATGTCCAGGTGGGCTGTGGGACTGCCCTGAGCCAAAGCCACCACAACCGGGAGAGCAGGAAGAGTGACAGGAGCCTCTAACGTCATGAAGAGTGGGAAGCAAAATGTGTCAGGCTAGCCTCCTTGGGGCTGCTTTCCCCAAATGCTTCAGTTCATTGGAGATAACCACACTAAAATTAATGCCTCCACACAGACCTGGGCTAGATAGCAAAAAATAAGTTTCTCTGCACTCATGAGTACTGGCTTCCACCCGTTTACCGTGGAGTTGGCCGAGATAACTCGGAGATAAGACTGTGCGCAGATAAGCGCTTCAGAAGAGGAAAAGATCACACTGTCTGCCTTGACCCATGGAGACTCTCAAACAGGAAATATTAGTTTTAACTTGTTGAATGATCTCTCACAGCTGGTGATGGAAACTTCGGTGGTTAATAGAAACTGCTCATGGCAGCCCCACCCCCTACCCCCTTGCCATGCCTCTGCTTCTGGCAATGAACCTTTAGCAGTTCTCTGAGCTGTGAAGTTCCCCCTTGGTAACCATGCAGCCCTGGACAGATTCTTTAGTCTTTCTAGCCCTCAGTTTCCTCATTTCTAAAATGAGGATTTTGAAGTTTGTGGTGATAACTAAATGCAATTGTACGTGTAAAGTCCCAGCATATAACAGACACTCAGTAAATATTGTCTTCACCTTATTTTAGAAAAGACATGCATCCTCAACTCAGCCAACTCCCTTAAAAGAGCCTCTGGCCTTCTGGATTCCCATGGAAATCTCATGAGACCCCAACTGCTGCCTACCTGTGCCTATTCCCCTTTCTCCACATTTCTGCCTGTCCCCAAGGGCTCCTACCTTTCATAGCTTGAGCCCTGGGCCCTGGGCCCAGCAGTGCCACTACCAGCAGCAAACAGGATCCCAGCCCTGCCAGCATCTCCTCATCAGGGGCCCCCACAGGCCTGTAGCACTTGGGACAGGCTGGAGACCAGAGGTCCCAGGATCCAGAGGTCTGGAGCAAGGGAAAGGGAGGTGAGACTGAAAGGGCCTCAAGTTAATGATGGTGTTAATAATTCATCACCCTTCGAATTAGTAAGCTGATCCCCGGGGGGTTCCTTCACTCCACCTTAAGGTGACGGATCTAGTGTCACCAGGTTTACACGTTCTGAAATGTGCACTGGACACACTGTATGGGAAGGGAGGCAAACTGGACCTAGCAGGAAATTTGGTGATGAAGAAAGGCCGTGAGTTACAGGGCCACGTAGTTCTGGGTTCAATCCAAGGTCAGCCTCTAACTTTCTTGATTACCTTGAACAAGTCATCTAACTGCTCTGGGTCTTGGTTTTTCCATCTGTCCAGGGCTAAATGTACTGGCCATTTAGCCCTGCCTTATAGTATTGTTGTGAAAATCAACTGTGGTAACATATGTTAAAGTACATAGTAGGTGCTTGCTATGGACTGTTCTCATCCCCTACCCTGTGGGGGAGCTAAAATGAGCCTTTAATTAGTGAGACAAGTGGGACAAGCATCCTTTAAACATGAGAACTTAGAGGAGAAGAGAAGGCTGTGATAGGTGATGAGGAATAATTCTTATTTATGCAAGAATGCAGCAGGAATAACAGAATTAGAAAGTTGTGTTTTGCAATTCCTAATAGAAGTTGCTGGATGGTGCAAATGGTTCAGCCCTTGGTAACTAACTGAAAGGTTGATGGTTTAAATCTATCCAGAGGTACCTCAGAAGAAAGGCCTGGTGGTCTACTTCTGGAAGATCACAGCCAATGAAAACCTTATAAGCACAGTTCTACTCTGATACACATGAGATTGCCATGAGTGAGATGGTAACTGGTTTGGATTTTGGGGTTTTAACGCAATAATAGATCCAGGCCATATTGTAAAGTCTGGCCAGGAATATGAAATATTCACTCCTTTATTGATCCATAAGCCTTGTTTGAACATCACTATGGGCCAGGCCCAAGGAGCTCTGGTGGTATAGTAGATAAGGCATTTGGCTGCTAACCAGAAGGTCAGCAGTTCAAACCCACCTGCTGCTCCGCAGAGGGGACGATCTACTTCCGTAAAGATTTATAGCTTCGGAAACCCAGTGGGAGTCACTGTGAGTTGGAGTTAACTCAATGGCAGTGGGTTTGTTTGTTTGTTTGTTTTTAAGGGCTAGACCAAGTGCTGGGAGCTTGGGATGCGGAAATGTCCTCAAGAGCTCTGTTTCCAGTAGGAAATGAATGGATTTTTCCATTTTCTTGGGTTCTTTTGATTTGGTTAAATTCAACCCAACACTCATTTCCTATGCTCTTTTCTTTAGGAGTTGTGGTGGTATAGTGGATAAGGCATTTGGCTGCTAACCAGGAGGTCAGTGGTTCAAGCCCACCAGTGGCTCTCTAGAAGGAAGCTGGGCTCTGTGGAAGGAAGATGGGATGATTTACTTCTGTAAAGATTTATAGCCTTGGGAACCCATTGAAGGCCGCTATGAATTGGAATCGACTCAATGGCAATGAGTTTGTTTGTTTGTTTTTGATCTCTTTATGAAGAGCTGGAGCCAGGCAATGGGCATGACTGGGGTAGACGTGGCACATTCCTGCCCTCCCAGTGCAGGGCCTGGGCCCTGGATTCTGATAGACTGACATCTGAATCCTGGTCCTACCACTTTCCAGCTGTGTGAGCTGGAGAAAGAAATCCAAGCTTCCTGGACTGGGAAATAGAAGTAACAGTCGTAGCCACAACTTGTCATAACAATTAATGAGATCATGTATGGGATTCTTAGCCAGTGTCTGGCTCGGTGCATAGTTGTGAATATGATTTTTATTTATCCCAGAGGAACCCAGATGTCCATCTGCCAGACCACATGGTACCTCTGGCCCATCCTTTCACCCAGAAGTCCCCAGGGAGTCCTCTGCTGCCAGTATGGGGAGGCCACCTGGAAGGTGTTCAGGAAAGAGCATCAGGAATGGTATGGCCTGAGGGATTGGCTTACCTATGGGGCTTGATTGACAGAAAGGAGAGATCCAGTTGATCTGAGCAGTCTGAGGGGCCTGGAGCTTTTATTAAACACCTATTGTGTGTCAAGGGGACAGGAAGAGAGTGTTAATGTGCTGGGACCAGTGCTAAGAGCCTCACATATTTCATGTGGTTGTATTCTCCCAACTCTCAGAGGCACATATTATAATGTCCATTTTACAGATGAGGAAACTGAAGCTCAAAGAGTTTGAACCACTGTCTTGGATTAATTTCCTCTAGAAGCTGACCCCAAAACAAGGATTCAAGGGAAGGTATTTTATTTGACCATTGGTCTGGGAAGTACTAGTAGGAAAGTAGGGATAGGAGACAGGAATGGTAAAAGACAAGAACTCAGGGTGCATAATAAACAGATTGGAGCTCTGATGGTGCTGTGTTAGACTGGGTTGCTAACCAAAAGGGCAGTGTTTCAATCCACCAGCTGCTCCACAGAAGAAAGATGAGACAGTCTGCTTCTATAAAGATTTACAGCCTTGGAAACCCTATGGGACAATTCTACTCTGTTCTATAGGGTTGTTAAAAGTTGGAATTGACTTGGTGGCAGTGGGTTTGGTTTTTGAAATGAACAGGTTTCCACTGTGGGCAACTGGGGCTCAGTCCCATGAGGACCTCTGGGAGACAGTGTGGAACATGCCCCTGAACTGCCTACCTGAGGGATGAGGAAGCCAAGTGTTCATCCACCAGCTCCCAGCTTCCAGCTGTTGAAGGCTTTTCCGTGTTGGAAAATTGTGTATTAGGCATTTCCAAACAGCCTGTGCATGGCCCCAAAGCCCTCAAGTAGAAAATCTAGATGTTGTAGGAAGAATATGTCTGTGTGCGCAGGAATAGAAAATGTCAAGGGATGAGGGCTGAACTTGATATCCTCCAGCACTGGTGACCTCTGAAATATTCGGCCCACTCTGTCATATCACCTCTCTTCCTGGAACTCTCATTCAGCCTCTCCAATGACACCCGCTCCTCAACTTCCCTTTCTGTTTCCTGGCTTTTCTCCCCCACATTATCATGCCTCCTTGCCCCATCTTCCCTTTTGGGATTAGAGACCAAGGTCAGTGTTGTTCTAATCTCCTTTCATGACAGCACAAACCCTAACCCAAATCAGCTCAGTGGGCCATACTCTTCACCGCTGTACCCTGACCCCTGTGCACCACTAACAGTCCTGTAACCATGAAGTCAACACCATTGCCAATTCATGGTCTCCAGTTTCATCTGGGGTCTCCATCTACCCCTCAGCCTCTCTATATTTCCCTAGTTGGCTTTCTCTCCAATTCTCCATAGAAGTCATTCCAGATGGTCAGCTGTCCCCCAGACTATATGGCTACATCTCCCCATGTAGTTGATCTTGACTCCTGTTGAGAACAATGCCAATCCAGAAGGCAAACCACCTTCATTTTACAGCCTCCACCCAGTCTGCAAGTGCTCATGCACCCCTTCCCTTCAGCCTCAGTAGAAGGAGGTCCCACCTCCTGTCCAAGGCCAGTCCTTCTGCCTGTGCCTGGAGGCCTAACCCTCCCACTGCCTCAGGAACCCGACTCTCATTTGCCTCTGAAACAATTTCTGAAGCCATCACTCTCCAAACTCACCAGCTCTCTCCTGCCTTGTCACAGGAGCCTCTTCACTGGCCTAGAGGCCTCTACTCTTGCCTGCTCCCCACCCACCCCAAACCATACTCTACTCTGATCTTTCTAAAATACTCATCTGACCATGTCATTCCTCAGCTCAGGATCAAATCCAAAGTCTTCAGTTTGACATTCATGCCCCAGCTATATCTCAGACTTTCCACTTGGTGCGCTCCATGTTGCAGCTGTTTCTCTCACCTCTGTCAGAGACGTTTCTCACCATGCCCTCAGCCTGGACTACCTACCCCACCCCATCTTCCCTTGGTGGACGTTACTCTAGAAACTTCCTTCAAGACCCCTGACTCCCAAACTGGGTGAGTGCTTCTGTCCCACTCCCATGTGTGCCCTGCACTCAGGCTGGTAGAAGACCCTTGGTCTTCTTGGCTTTCATCCCAGTTCCCAGGGTTTAGCCCAAGCATGGCCATTTATTATTTCCATGCCCGCTGCCTCACCTAATACATCCTAAGTGCTCAGCAGCCATTTATGGACTGAACTCCTCCAGGACACACAGCGAGGAAGTGTCATTGTCAACTTGAACCTCTGTTCATCTGTGTCCAAAGCCTGTACTTTCCACCCTGCTCAATGGAGCAGCAGTGTGGTTGTTAAGCACAGAGCTCCTAGAATCAAGACCACCTAGGTTCAAATCCCAGCTGTGGCACTTACTAGCTAGCTACGTGACCTTGAACAAGTCACATCACCTCTCCAAGCCTCAGTTTTCTCATCTGTAAAATGAGGAGAATAGCTTCTATCCTGCTAGGCTGTTGTGAGGATTAAATGGTGAAGACATGAGAAGTGTGTAGAAAAGTGTCAGCACATTGGTCCATTCTCTGTAGTTTATCTATCTGTTGGTGTACACAGTATTCCCTTAGAATCCTTTTTATTTCTGTAGGATCCAGTCGTGATGTATAGCACATTATGAATGCACATTTTCCCTTATCTTGAATTCTGTTTGCATGAACTCTAAATGCTACACAGACCCTTATCTCCTTGAAGTCACCTCTGGGTGGGGCCTCCTACTGCCTGGCTGTGCCAATCAGCGGCTCTAGCCATGGCTTCTCTCCTGGCCCCCAGGGGAGGTGTGAGAAGGAACAAAGGCTCATCAATAGCCAGGGTCATGAGGGAGTGCCTGTGCCACCCACAAGACGAGTCACCCCTGGGAGCCTGCATGCCTTCCAGGTCCCTGCTGTGTCCAACTCCCAAGGGCTGAGCTCTGAGGACCCACTTCAAATGTCCAGGGGGTCTCTTGGCATGGAGATGACCTCCCTCTCTTATGGCTGACTCTGCAGTAGTCCGGAGCTGGTGGATACAGGAGTTCTCCCTGGAGGGGTGTGAGCTCCACGAGGTTATGAGTATGCACCCAGGATGGATGCTAGCCAAAAGAGGAGCCTGCTGCTGTAGGTGCCTGTTTCTGTCACTGTGCATGTTTGTCCCTCTGTGGGGTGGTATGCGCCATCTGATCATGCTATTTTCTCAGGTATATGAGTCCATCTTAATGTGTATGAATTAGGCACTATGTATAATACTCATCTCTCTGTGATTCACTGTCCCTTTCTGAGTGTGAGTATGCCCTGTGTGTGAATGCACCCATCACTGTGGATTCATACCTGTTTCATGCCCATCTCTGTGTAATGCATGGATCACATGGTACTTCTGTCTCTGTGTATGCATGCACTTCTGTCCAATTGTAAATGGCTAACTCTGCACACATCACTGAGTGCCTCGGTGAGTGTGTATATTACTTTGACCCACCTCTCTGCCAGAGCACACACCTGCCACTGTGGGGACCTTCCGAGTGTGTGAGCGCACTTGTGTGGATACATCATTGCATGCATATGTCTGTTCCTATACATCTGTGGATATGCAGCTATATCTGCATGTGCCCAGCTACCAATGTCTGTAAGCTCTCTCTACAAACGTATTAAGATTTCTGGGGGAGTGTCCCTCACTGGGTATACATCTATGTCTAAGTGCAAGTATCATAGCAGTGTGTGTGTGTGTGCGTGCAAGACTATCTCATCTTTATAAGTGCACATCTCTTTCCACAAGTACACAGCTACCTGCTGCTGTACAGGTCAGTGTCCCTGTGTACAATTAATTCCTCTGGGTGTGCATGTCTAAGTGGACATGGCTATGACCATATATAACTATATATGTTCAGATAGCTCTGAGTGTACACATCTGTACATGCACATCTCTGTGCACATACAGGCAGCACTCTGAGTGCGCACTATAACTGAGGTTCCTCTCTAAGTCATTTTTGTTTTCACATCTGCATCCTGTCACTGGTACCTGGGGAGCAAGGATGGTGCCCGTGGGATAGCAAGGTGCTGCCTAATGCTTCCCTTTTCTGCAGGTGTCTGGGCCGACAAATGAGGGTGTGGAGGAGGCCAGGGAGAGAGGCTGCTCCACCTCTGGGGTTTCCTGGCTGGGTCCAAAAAAACCAAAGCAAGCTCACTGCCATGGAGTTGACCACGACTCATAGTGACCCCTCCTAGGGTTTCCAAGGCGGTATCTCTACAGAAGTAGATTGCCCAATCTTCCTTTTCAGGAGTGGCTGGTGGGTTTGAATTGCCAGCCTTCTGGTTAGTAGTCAAATAGTTTAGGCACTATGCCACCAGAGCTCCTGGCTAGGTCCCAGGAAGCCACAATTCTCCCTTAATAAGAATCCCGGGGACCTAGTGACTTTCCCATGAGTGTGGGCCCTATGGGTAGAGGTGAGGGGGTAGGGACTCAGGGAGCACCCACACTCACTCCCCTCATCCCCCATCCTCTGCTCCCTGAAGTCAGCAGGCTCCGGCCCTGCCTGGTGTGAGATGGGTGTGCTGTATCTTAGATTTCCTCTGTGGGAGCCTGACAGAAGGCCAGGGGGTGAGCACAATGTGGGTCCCTATGTGACAGAGCAGGCAGGGGCAGTGGTGGGAAGGGACAAGAATGCACAGATAGAGACAGAGGATTACCAGAAAAGAGAAAGATGAAAGGTTAAAGAGAAAGGTGGGAAGCAAGGGCAGAAGGAGGAGGTGGGTCTGATGGCATGAAGGTGACAGTGGGTGGTAGTGGAGTCCCAGGACAGGGGTCTTGCTGGCTCCTCTCACTCCAGGGAGCCACACTTCCCTCCAGGTCTGGGATTGCCAAGAGGAGGCCGCCACAGGCCCTCCTCCTCTCTTCCCCTTCTCTGAATATGTATTTTTCTCTCATAGTCACTCTGCCCTGGTCCCGTCCCTAGGCTGGGGACGCTGGTATGATGTCACTGAAGTCCAGATGGGCCAAGAACAAGGTTTCCGGAGAGGTCTCAGACAAGGGTGTGACCTTCACAGGCTCTGGCTCCGGGGCCAATGGGAAGAAAGTGAGGAGGGGCCGGGATCGCCGCCATTTGTGAGGCTCATGCACCTCTGGGCCCTACCATACCATCTGACTGCACTTCTCAACCCCATAGAGAAGGGGATACTGTCCCCACATCACAGCATCACAAAGGGCCACAGTGGGTGCCACAGTCTGAGAATAGGAGACTGGCAGATCAGGCAAAGAAGGGCCCGCTCATGTGAGCTGCTTGCCCCCCCTCCCCCCTCTCTTCAATGCTGGGTTATAGGATCTGGTCCTATAACTGGATTTAGGTGAAAGAGCAACAGATTTGGGTTCAAAACTCCCCAGGGGTGGATCCTATTTCCATTCCTGTGGTGCTGTGTGACCCTGGGCAACTCATTCCCTTCCCCTTCTGAGCCTCATTTTCTACATACATGAAGTGGGGTTGCTGTGAAGACTAAATGTGAGATCAGATTGGTCAAAGAGCTTTGTAGACTATAAAACGCTGTACACCAGCAGGTGTCCCTGTGTTTAAAGGTGTGATTAGTGCTACCAAAGTCAACAGGGTGATAACATGTGACCATGTACTGAGCCAGGTGTTTCCCTGGGCATTTTTTTTTTTTTAATTGTGATTTGGGTGAAAGTTTACAGAGCAAATTCACTTTATTATTATTATTATTATTATTGTGATTTGGGTGAAGATTTACAGAGGAAATTCACTTTCCATACAGCAGTTCACAAACACTTTGTCTCATGACATTGACTACAGTTTACCACAATGCAACAGCTCCCCTCTCACTTCCTCCCCATAGTTACCTCTTCCCTGCACTCCTGCCCCCTGAGCTGTCTCCCTATGCATACACAGCCCTTCTTTCTCCCATGATTGTTCTCTCCAAGGAATGTATCTACCCAGTGTAAATGTTCACCTCACATGCCTGTCTTTTGTTTGGCTGAAAGCTACAGGTATGGGTTCAATTCCAGACCTGAAGGGCAGCTAGGGGCCATAGTCTCAGTGGTTCCACCAGGCTCTATCAGACCAGCAAACCTGGTCCTTTTTTTTCAAATGATTTTGAGTTTTGTTCCACATTGTTCTCCCTCTCTATCTGGGATCTCCTACACAGATCCCCCTCCGAGTGGTTGACCATGGTAGCTGGGCACCATCTAGTTCTTCTGGTCTCATAGTCGTATAGGCTGAGGATCACATGGTGTACCAGTCACTTGGACTAATTGTTTCCATGAATCTTTTGTTTTCTTCATTCTTCTTTGCTCTGGATGAGGAGAGACCCAACGTTGCATCTAGATGGCTGCTTGCAACCTTTTAAGATCCTAGTCACTACTTGACAAAGTAGGAGGTGGAACAATGTTTTGTGTAGTATGTTATGCCAATTGAACTTGATGTCCCCTGCAACTATGGTCCTGAGCCCACAGGTTCAACTACTCACTCCCTCTGGGTAGCTGGCTGTGTTCCCTAGGCACTTTACATAGGTCCCTCACTTAGTCCTTCCCAAACTTCTGAATAGAACTTCTCAAGATCATTCAACTCATAGCGACCCCTCCTTGGGTTTCCGAGGTGGTCTCTCTATGGAAGTAGATTGCCCAATCTTCCTTCTGAGGAGTGGCTTGATGGGTTTGAACCACCAGCCTTCTGGTTAGTAGTCAAATGTCTTAGGCACTATGCCACCAGAGCTCTCCTATACATCCTGTAAGTGGATTCAAATCAGGGATTGTAGGGCTGCAACCAGGCTGGAACACCAGAAGTCTGTCAGAGGGGGTCTTGAAGGAAGAATTGCATAGAACCTGGAGGCAGAGGGGTAGGGAAGACACACAAAGGAAGCCTCCTGTTGGCCCAGCCCCTCCCCACTACCATTTGGCTACCCAATTAGTCCTGCTTTTTGAAGCCTGTAACAAGCCAAGGCACGTTAAGGAAGTTCATAGTTATGTAAGGGGAAACTGCCAGGTGCCCTCTCCTGCTTCAGGAGAGACCGCTGGAAGGGCTGCACCAGGATTTTGACCTCTAGGAAGTTGTCTGGAGTGCTTTCCTGCCTCCTCTTACCCCTCTGAGCCCTCCTGTCCCCACTCTTTCTCATCCTCCCCACTGTACCCCTCACCTCTCTCCCCCACACACACCAAACTTCCCTCAGCTACTCATTCACAATCAGCCCAACATGGGAGCCTCTCCAGAGTGCCCTGCCTTGGACACCAAGCCTAGAACTCCCCTTCCCCACAATAAAGCAACTGTCAAGTTCCTACCCTTTGCCAAGTGTGTTCATATCCATACACAGCCAAGCTATGTGACCTTGGACAAGGTTTTAACCACCCCTCTGGGCCTTAGTTTCCTCATCTGTAAAAGGGGATAATGCATTAAGATCTGTAAAGGGTTTAGAAGTACACAGCATGTGTTGTTGTTGTTAGGTGCCGTTGAGTCAGACCCAACTCATGGCGACCCCTCCTTCAGTTGCCGAGGCAGTATCACTATGGAAGAAGATTGCCCAACCTTCCTTCTGAGGAGTGGCTGGTAGATTTGAACCACCAGCCTTCTGGTTAGCAGTCAAGTGCCTTAGGCACTATGCTACCAGAGCTCCTACAAGGCATGTAGTAAGCTCTACTTAAGCATTCATTAAATTAAATTAAATTAACATCCGTAACGACTTCACAAGGTAAGGATTGTTATTATTGTTAGTTGTCTTTGAGCCAATTCTAACCCATGGCGACCCCATGTATGCAGAGTAGAATTGCTTCACAGAGTTTTCAAGGCTGTTACCTTTTAGAAGCAGATCACCAGGGCTGTCTTCCAAGGTACCTCTGGGTGGGTTCTAACTGCCAGGCTTTCAGCTGAGTGCTTAACTGTTTGTGCAACCCAAGGGCTCCAAGGTGAGAATAGCTGTGTTATTGTGTATCATCGAGTCAATTCTGACTCATAGTGACCCTAGAAGACAGAGTAGAACTGCCCCATAGGATTTCCTAGGCTGTAATCCTTTCAGGAGGAGCTCTGGTAGTGTAGTGCCTAAGGCATTTGACTGCTAACCACATCATCATCAAACTCATCAAAACCAAAGACAAAGACAGAATCCTGAAAGCCGCACAGGAAAAACAAAAAGTTACATACAAAGGACAGCTAGTAAGAATAAGCTCTGATTTCTCAGCAGAAATCATGCAAGCTAGAAGGCAATGGGATGGTATATATAAAACCCTGAAAGAGAAAAATTTTCAACCAAGAATTATATACC